CTCAATATGAAGAAAACAAAAATCCTCACAACTGGTCCAATAAACAGCTTCATGATGGATGGAGAAAAGATTGAAGTTGTCAAGGACTTCATATTACTTGGTTCTACAGTCAGCATCAATGGAAGCAGCAGTCAGAGCGTCAGGTAATGCATTGCATTGGGCAAATCTGCTGCAAAAGACCTCTTTAAAGTGCTGAAAAGCAAAGATGTCTCCTTGAAGACTAAGGTGAGCCTAACACAAGCCATGGTTATTTCTAATTTCCTCATATGCATGTGAGAGCTGGACAATGAATAAGGAAGACTGAAGATGAGTTGATGCTTTGGGTTGTGGTGTTGGAGAAGAATGCTAAGAGTACCATAGACTGCTAAAAGGACTAACAAATCTGTCCTGGAGGAAGCACAGCCAGAATGCTCCTTGGAAGTGAGAATGGCCAAAGTTCATCTCATTTACTTTGGTCATGTTGTCAGAAGGGACAAGGATATCCCTGGAGAAGGATATCATGCTTGGTAAAGTCAAGGGTCAATGAAGAAGGGGAAGGTCCTCAATGAGATGGATTGACACAATGGCTGCAATGATGGGCTCAGGTATAGCAAAGATAGTGAGGCTGGCATAGGACTGGGCAGTGTTTCGTTCTGCTGTGCATAGGGTTGCTATGAGTCAGAGACAAATTGACAGCACCTAACAATGACAACAACAATAATCATATAATGAGAAAGCTGGACAAGAAAAACTGATGTTTTTGAAGTATGATGTGGGCAAAGAATAGTGAATATACCATGGACTGCCAAGAACAAATCTGTCGTTGAAGAAGTACAGCCAAAATGCTGTCGTATGTACTTTGGACATGTTATCAGAAAGGACCAGCCCTGAAAGAAGGGAATCATGATTGGCAAAGTACATGGTCCATGAAAAAGAGGAAGACCCTCAATGAGAAAGACTGACACACTGGCTTCAACAGTGGGCTCACACATAGCAATGATTTGAGGATGGTGCAGGACTACAGTGTTTTGTTTTTTCAACAGAGAATAACCAGGAGTTGGAATCAACATAATAGTACCTAAAACGACAACAAAAACAGGGTCTAATGTAATTAAATGACAGAATATATTAAAAATAACATTTTCCTTGTCTTGTTTAAGGAATATAAGTCAGCCAAAGTGTTCAGTGCTCTTTTACTTCTTAGATGGAATATCTGAGTATGATTGTATGATTGCTTGGGTTAATTACTGCATAAATTCTGTAAATGTCTAAATGTGTTAAAGTAAAATAGTTTTATTTAATAGACATTTTCTAGAAGATATGGAATTAACAAATGTTACTAAAAAAATCCATACCTGATTTTTAAGTAATCAATGATAGCATTGGCTTGTGTTACATCAAAGATGCTCCATTCCTCATTTTTTCCTAAATGAGAGGGTCCTATTTCAGCCATAACTTCTCCCAGCCATTTTATGCTGTCTTCTAAGGACATGTGCAGTGCTGTAATAAAATTCAGGGAAATCTTAAACATTATTTTGATAGATGTTTTCAAAGTGAGATAATGCAAGAGACTTTAATATGCAAAAATTTATTTCAATAATAGTATGAACAAATGGTGAAACTTGCTGTTTTTTCATGAAATAGTTAATACTTCTTGGGTAAAAGAGTAACAAATGACAAATCTAACAACTGTAAAATATTGTTATACTACACAATTTTCTGAAGAGTTTATGTTTCTATTTTAAGATACAGAAAAAGAAAAAAGAAAGAAGTCTATCTGAAGATTATTTCAAAGTGGAAAGGAAATATTTCTGATCTTAGAATAAAAGCATATCTGAAAATGACAAAAAAGAAAAACTACTGCCTTAGCTGGTGAATAAGTTTTAGTGTAGGTTCAATCATTGTAGACATGGTACCTGAACTTAGGGCTGAAAATGTAAAAGATGGACTCAACCAACACTTGGCTTTAGCTGATTGATGCCATGTGGGATTTTGGGGTTGGAGATTTTCAATGTTGTTGTTGTAGTTACATGCCATCAAGTCATCTCTGATTCATAGCAACCCTATGTATAACAGAACAAAACACTGCCCAGTCCTGTGTCAACCTCAGGATCCTTGCTATACCTGAGCCCATCATTGCAGTCACTGTGTAAATCCATCTCGTTGAAGGCCTTCCCCTTTTTCATTGACCCTCTGCTTTACCTAGCATGATATCCCTCTCCAGGGAATGGTCCCTTCTGACAACACGACCAAAGTAAGTGAGACGAAGTCTAGCCATTCTCGCTTCCAAGGAGCATCCTGGCTGTACTTCTAGGACAGATTTGTTAGTTCTTTTGGCAGTCCATGGTACTTTCAGTATTCTTCACCAACACCACAACTCAAAAGCATCAACTCCTCTTTGGTCTTCCTTATTCATTGTCCAGCTCTCACATGCACATGAGGCAATTGAATATACCATGGCTTAGGTCAGTCATACTTTAGTCTTCAAGGCGGTATCTTTGCTCTTCAGCACTTTAAAGAGGTCTTTTGCAGCTGATTTGCCTAGTGCAATACATCATCTGATGTGACTGTTGCTTCCATTGCTGTTGACTGTGGAACCAAGTGCATGAAATATTTGACAGTTTTAATCTTTTATCCATTTATTGTGATGTTGTTTATTATAAGGTCAGCCAAAGTGTTCAGTGCTCTTTTACTTCTTAGATGGAATATCTGAGTATTATTGTATTATTGCTTGGGTTGACAATTGACAGTTATGAAGATTTTTGTTTTCTTTATGTTGAGGTGTAATCCATACTGCAGACTGTAGTCTTTAATCTTCATTGATAAGTGCTTCAAGTCATCCTCACTTTCAGCAAGCAAAGTTGTGTTGTCTGCATATCACAGGTTGTTAATAGTCTTTCTCCAATCCTGATGCCACATTCTTCTTCATATAATTCAGCTTCTCGGATTATTTGCTCAGCATACAGACTGAATAAGTATGGCGAAAGGATACAACTCTTATGTACTCCCTTCCTGATTCTAAACCATGCAGTATCCCCTTGTTCTGTTTGAACGACAGCCTCTTGGGCTATGTTCAGGTTCCTCGTGAGCACAATTAAGTGTTCTGGAATTCCTGTTCTTCTCAATGTTATCCATAATTTGTTATAATACACATAATCAAAAGCTTTTGAATAGTCAATAAAACATAAATAAACATCCTTCTGGCATTCTTTGCTTTGAGTCAAGATCCATCTGACATCAGCAATGATATTCCTCATTCCGTGTCCTCTTCTGAATCCAGCTTGTATTTCTGGATGTTCCCTATAAATATACTGCTGCAACTGTTTTTGAATTGTCTTCAGTAAGATTTTACTTGCGTTTGATATTGTTCGATAATTTCCACATTCTGTGGGATCACCTTTCTTTGGCATGGTACAAATATGGATACTTTCCAGTCAGTTAGCCAGGTAGCAGTCTTCCAAATCTTTGGCATTGCCAAGTGAGTGCCTCCAACATGGTATCCGTTTCTTGAAACATCTCAATGGGTATTCTGTCAATTCCTAGAGCCTTGTTCTTTGCCACTTCCTTCAGTGCGACTTCGACTTCTTCCTTCAATACCATTGGTTCTTGATCATATGCCACCTCCTGAAATGGACAAATATTGACCAATTCTTTTTGGTACAGTGACTCTGTATATTCCTTCCATCTTCTTTTAATGTTTCCTGCATTATTCAATATTTTGCCCACAGAATCTTTCAATATTGCGACTCTAGGCTTAATTTTTTCTTCAGTTCTTTCAGCTTGAGAAATGCTGAGCACGTTCTTCCCTTTTGGTTTCCTAACTCCAAGTCTTTGCACATTTCCATATGATAATTGGCTTTGTCTTCTCAAACTGCTCTTTGAAATCTTTTGTTCAGCTCTTCTATCTTGTCATTTCTTCCATTTGCTTTAGCTACTCTCTGTTCAAGGGCAAGTTTCAGAGTCCCTTCTGACATTCATTTTGTTCTTTTCTTCCTTCCTGTTTTTTTAATGATCTCTTGCTTTTTTCATGGATGATGTTCTTGATGTCATCCCACAACTTCTCTGGTTTTCAGTCATTGGTGCTCAATGCATCAAATCTATTCCTTAGATGTTTTCTAAATTGAGGAGGGATATATTCAAGGTCATATTTTGTCTGTCTTGGACTTGTTTTAATTGTCTTCAACTTCAAGTTGAACTTGCATATGAGTAGTTGATGGTCTGCTCCACAATCAGTTCCTGGCCTTGTTTTTGCTGAAGATATTGACTTTCTCCCTCACTTCTTGTCACAGATGTAGTTGATCTGATTCCTGTGTACTCCATTTGGTGAAGTCCATGTGTATAGCCACCATTTGTGTTGTTGAAAATTAGTATTGCAATGAATAAGTCATTGATCTTGCAAAATTCTATCATGTGATCTCCAGCATTATTTCTATCACCAAAGCCATATTTTCAAGCTCCTGGTGACTCTTCTTTGTTTCCAACTTTTGGATTTCTGTCACCAGTGATAATCAGCACATCCTGATTGCACGTTTGGTCAATTTCAGACTGCAGAAGTTGGTAGAAATCTTCAATTTCCTCATCTTTGGCTTTGGTGATTGGCATGCAGATTTGAATAATAGTAGCATTAACTGGTCTCCCTTGTAGGTATATGGATATTTTTCTATCACTGACAGCATTGTACTTCACGATAGACCTTGAAATATTCTTTATTTTGATGAATGCCATGCTATTCCTCTTCAAATTGTCATTCCTGGCATAGTAGATCATATGATTGTCTGATACAAAATGGCTAAAACCAGTCCATTTCAGCTCACTAATGTCTAGGATATCAATCTTTGTGCATTCCATTTAATTTTTGACAACTTCTAATTTTCCTAGATTCATACTTCATACATTCCATCTTCTGATTATTAATGGATGTTTGCAGCTGTGTCTTCTCATTTCTATTTTCAATAGAAGCCAGAAATAAAGATTTTCATGTAAAATTTGGTATCAAGATTTTTTTCCACAGGTATAAGGAGCTCTGGTGGTGTAGTGCCTGAAGCATTTGACTGTTAACCAGAAGGCTGGTGTTTAAACCCACCAGCCACTCTTCAATGATGGTAAGAGCCCAAAGAAAATGTAACAGTAATAGAACTCTGCTACCATTACCAAAATTGAACTGCTGAATTATTCTAAGTCTATTTTTTTTACAGCTAAAACAACAACAAAAAAAAATCATAACAAAACAAAAACAACAACAGCAAAAACAACCCACCAAACAAAACTATCTTCTTTGAAAAGGGTAAAATTGCTTTTCCTAAGAAGGCAGTGTGAGGGTAGGGAAGGGTGAGAGCAGGAGGTAGGGAGTTACTAAGACCCTAGAGAAAGTAAGACTGTACTAGCTGCTTGGAGGGAAGACACTACCATGAGGAGTTGTTAGCTGGAAGTCTTATTGAGTTTAGCGGAATTTGGATTTGATGTTTGATCAGTGGCATCACTATGGTTGGTGCTACCCAGTGTATAAGTATCACTTCCCCTATGGACTTCATCCTATACCAGACCACACAGAATCCTTACTAATGTTTACTATCAATTTTAATCATAGAATAATATGTGATAAATATAGATGTAAATTTCTTAAATGTAATATTTCTTATTATATGAATACTAACAAAAATTATTTTGTAAAATCTTTCTACATTGAATTGCAACATTACTAGTTACATTAGTAAGCAAGTAGAAGTCTTTCTTTTATTTCCTCTCTTTTCCTTTAATTACTATTTAGTTTTCAAAAAAGTTTATAGATGTAGTTTCAAAAATAGTAACTATCCCAATGTTGTACTAAAACACCAGAAAATGTGACAAAATTGGGAACTATAGTAACATTGGCAGCAATGAAAACAACAGGGTGTGCATGCAGACAATATGACGTGATTCAAAGCACCATTGTAATTGAGTAATAATGACAGCTCTGACTGGAGTGCATTAGAAGGTTGAAAAAGTAAATTTGCATAGAGTGTTAGCGTTGTTGGTACTTTGTTGTTGTTGTTGTTATGTGCCGTCAAGTCTGACCTGACTCATAGCGACCCTTCCTTGGGTTTCTGAGGCAGTAACACTATGGAAGTAGATTGCCCCATCTTCCTTCCAAGGAGTGGCTGGTGGATTTGAACCACCAGCCTTCTGGTAAGCAGTCAAGTGCCTTAGGCACTATGCTACCAGAGATCCTTGTAGGTACTTTAATACATGTAAACCAGGCTTATGGAGAATGTTTTTGTTGTTTTAACTAACTACAGGGATATTTTTATTAAAAGTACTACATTTCTTCTGAAACTGCACAAAAATTTTACAGGTAATCATTGTGGTGTCACCCCCCTCTGACAGTGTCACCTTGCTTGGTCTGCACCCCCCAGTGATGCCATTGTGTTCAGTGTGAATTCTACTCACCCAGTCTCAGACAAACTTACTATGAAACCATCAGAAAAAACTTCTACTTCTTGCTAATGGAGTGGATTTTCTTT